TGAATTTTGATATGCAATTTCAATAGTAAGAGTTGAACTTTTCAATAAAGTTTCAGTTGAACTTTGCGAATAAAGTTTGTGGAAAAAACTTTATTCTCAAAAAGTGAATAGTTCCATGAAGTTCCAAGATCAATTCTACATGACTGAAGTAATGTACTCATGTAAAAAAATAAAACAAATTTGAAATCTTGAGTTGGTAAAAATTTTGAAATTTAATATAACATTTTACAGTATATCAATATATTTGTGTTAAGATGTACACAGCAAAGAAATTGAATGGGAAATAATCAGTGTATCCGTAGCAGATAATGATTTAGTATCCACAAAAGGAGTGTGGAGAGAGTTTGAAGCTCGGGAGCTACGATGTTTATTTGATCACATTTCCCCATCCTGTGGTAACATGACAGGAGATCCAAACAATACCTTGTGTCACGGGGAAGAGGACGAAACATAATACGATTCTCGATACATCGTACGTATAAAGTAGGGAAATTTGGTTTGGAATACAGGAGGATTCGCTGCAGCAAGAAAACAGCTTTCGTTAAAAAGAATGTCTTGACAACATTTCCGCATGCAGTTTCTTATTCTCCTTCGAAGGAGAATGCTGAACACTTCCGAAAATTAGAGAAAGAGAGCCTGCCACACTTTCTAACCACCCATAGGAAGATCGAAAAATGGCAACGTTGGACAGGAATGACCGAGCGAATACCTGCATAACTTCCCGTTAAAAAAGAATGTGTAACTGACGTTTTCGCCAGAAATTTATTATTATTCTCCTTCGAAGCAGAAAAGGGAGGAAAATAAATCGATTGTGGACTCTGGAGAGAGAGAATCCGCCCACAATCGCTTTCTAACCACTCGAAGGATCGAAACAACGGCAACGCCGGCTGGCTGGCTTGCTGGATAATCTGCATGTGGCAACTTCCATAGGGATGACCGAGAGCGCAACACAGAAATGGAAAATTTAATAATTATTATACAATAGCCAGCAACGGAAGGACTCCATAGCCCCCCGTAGTACATTCTGGGCCATTCCAAAATGATGGACCGCCGTACGTCGTCCAGCGTGATGGGCAGTAACGGACCGTCCGGGTCCACGAGAAGCATCTCGCAGTTGCTCGCTCTCACTCACTCACTCAGTGATCTCTGAAAACAGCCTGAGCTGGTCAGAAAGGCTGACCGGGAGCCAACCGCGTTAGACCACGTAGTCGACCGGAGGAAGGACTACAGTAGGACTTTAGTGACCACGTACCTCGAAATCGCCGACGTGGCGAGTTGCTCCGTGAACAGTCACCGTCGTACCGACGGCGTATTGACGGCGACCAGGCTCATGCTTATTGTGCCGTCCATGAAGTTTCTGTGGGCTGCTTGCTTTCACATGAACGACAAATGTCGATTTCTCCATTTCAGGGACCTCATGCTCTGGCTCCACAACAGACAAAGATCGACACAGCTCGTCAGAGCCTCGGTCCCATGAAACATTTGGCATGACTGTGGAATTGCGGTGCGATGAGAGTGACAGTCCTCGTTGTTTCTCCTCATCCATCACAAGAATTGCAAGGAGGAGGAGGAGGAGGATGAGGCTGGTTCTGCTGATATACAGCTGAAGCGCATGAATTGGGTTTCGCTCCTCGTTGTCCTCAGCATAATAAGCGTGCGAGACCACTACAGAATTTGACAAAAGACACATGCCTCACAATTTTGTCGTGCACGTTCATCACGTCGAGATCACTTCGAGTCATGAAAGCTCGCTCGCTTAACAACACGTATACACTGTGGTTAGCCATGAACAGGTCCTGGGGGTTGGTGATATTATATCACTGATATACCACTTTCTTACTCACTTACTTTCTGTCAATCCTTCCTCGACCCCTCGAGCGAGCCTGATGCATGCCTCCGTTCGAGATAGATCGAAGGATTCTGTTAAGATCAACAGCTGGTACCAATGGCCGGTTTTTCTCTTCCCAAGATGTCTGTCTGCGTTGAGTTTTTCTCATGATTTCCTCCGTTTTATTGGAAATATTCCCATGCATGATAAGTACCAAACTGGTTGGTAGAGTCAAGTGTGAGGGCTGAGGACGCCCGAGTACCGGGGAGGCCCAAATTCCACCTCCCATCAATGACAGCATATTTTGGACATGTTGATACAAAGGAAACAATGAAAGGCGCAAGCAGCAGTGCGGGAGTGCGGGGAGTACAGCGCGCGCACACACTCTCACACATCAATCCCCAGCCACACTCCTCCTTCTATAATGGAAGGAATAGATTCTCGAGCGCATCAATGGACTCGTTAACGTCGAGAAAGCGAGGCCACTGCCGGATGCTGTCACAGCTACATTCATGTGCCTTGGATGTGGTTTCAGTTGCAGGCCAATGGGCTGGAGGTCGGAGTAAATTATTCTGGAGTTTGGCGTCTACTTGTGCGGCGTGCACAGTTCACTAGGAAGTGTTGTGTGATCACCGACTCGGATGGATCGGTGTTGATAGGATCTCACACGGCAGCACAGGCGATAAACAAGTTAGAAAGTGTGCTAAGACGACAAATTGCATGGTTCTGTGTGCATGCCCTCCATGTGCTTTAGCTTCACCCTCTCCCAGGTTTGCACCGTATCACACACAGGTCATCAATCTGAATTATTTCGATGAGTATTCACGGTTTGGAAAGGTAGAGAGAAATATCAAGCTCTTCGTCCTTCCTGTAAATGGAGCTGTTCCATTCAAAGTAAGATATTTAAAGAAGAAAGAGAGGGAAAAGTGGGTTGAAAAATTCATCGTAACTCATCTTCTTCTGTTCTCGAGGAAATATTCCTGGCATTGGGTTGATGCTTCTCCAACTCGTTCTGGTAATTGAGCTCTGTTACCATCCATATTTTGTTCCTCCTGAGTCAAACCAAAAGAACACGTTTTAAGCGTTAAAACACGCTAAACCCTACACCATTGAGACCCCCTTCAGTCTCCTTTCGTTTTGTGGATGCTGGATAAAATGTTTTTACCATCCATAGAGACATTTTTCTTTCTCAGCTATTAAGACTAGCTCATCTCTATGTACGTACTCGTAGCTTTAACTGTCTCCCCTGGAGGCTTTTCAAGAAATCCAATTCTAGACCCTCTTGCTAGCGCAACGATAGCCAGATCAAGCTACAATTCTGTTATCATGTAATGTGTATGTGAAGTTATCTGGTGGGATATAAAACTTGGTCACCTACCTCGTAGTTTAATTTGCTCGGACAATGGTAAGTGTTTCTATCTTTTCGTCTTGTACTTTCTAATGCCCACCAGAAAGACCATGGGTTTCCCATGTGAGAAGACGAAGGATCATTCTGAATAGGCCATCCTATCCATTAGTGACGAATAATGTAGGGGGGGTTTTTAGTGCTTGCCGTTTTGAACTCATCTGATTCATGGAAGGAATAAGCGTCATGTGATGACATTGCGATTAGTCCTTGGGGGCTAAGGTTGTGATTCCTACGACTATCTATTTCGAGATGGCATGTCCGAGATCCTGGGCACTTGCAGCCCGCTACATGTGTAGGTGTGAGGCCTATCTAATCTTGTCGAGTTTGCGTTTCATACTCCCCCAAGATACAAGATGTTATAAGGCAGCACAGGTTATGAATCAAATAATCAGAAAAGTATAGATTACCTTGCCTGTGATATTTTCGGTGTTAAAGAAGGACTTTTCTTTCAGTTGGCCGACCATGACTCCCCGTCGGACAGAGATCAGATCATAAAGGTTCTACCATGTGGGCATTTATAGTAAGTGACGCCACTAGGGAGCACGAATCAGTCGGTGCTCGCCGAGGGTAAATGTAGTCCAAAAGAAAGTTGTCTTCGACTCCCAATGTCTCCAGGGCGGATTAGGATTTCGTTCAACCCGCTTTGATTCTCGGTGAAAAGCGTCCCTTTGATTCCTCGAGAGGAAAAGAAAAAGAATTTCTGCAATTGTCGTCCCTCGCCTTTTGCATCAATCTCCCGTACTTGACAGTTCGCTCTCGCTGCCATGTCATGTCTCTTGAAGGGTCGCAGCTCGCAACTAGCCCCTGAGGGCCGAGGTGAGAACTACTCATCGATCGGAATAACTAATAAAGTGGAAGACCAAGTGACTCGAAAATTCTTCCGCAATTTTGGTAGAACCGGCTCGAGAAAGTACGTCGTTGCGCTGCCCGGAGACCTCGGTCCCAGCATACGACTTACTATTAAGGGCCAGAAGACTTATTATTAAGGACGAGGCTTGACTTGGCCGGTCGACGCGCGTCACGCAAGCGACGGAGACGAGTTCAGATCTCCAACCGGAGCTCGGACAAAGTCGACGCGACGCGGTCGGTTTGAGGAACGCAGCACGACCCGGGCCCCGGTAGTGGAGGTTCCGGCGACGGGCACAGCAGGTCATGCTCCGGTACGGCCGATGGTACCGAAGATCGGGCTCTGCAACCGGAACCGTCATCAATCGAGTCCGGCGGGATCGAGTTCTTCTCGTCTGCTTCGACCGCGGCGGTGTAACGGACGGAACGTGCGGGAGGAAGCTTTACCTGCAACCGGCTGGCGCTTCGACCCGGACGCGCCCCATTCGCTCGGTCGTTGCATGCACAGGGGCCGACAGCCGCCGACTCTGTCAAGGTCTTCGTTATTTCGGCCCGAGGAGAAATTCGTCCGTCTTTTCGCTTTTCTTCCTCCCGTCGTAACGCATTTGCCGCTTAGACGTAGACGCTTAACGGGTCAAAGTCAACTCGGGATGGGTAAGTTTTAACCCTGCGCTCCTAACCCCCGGTGGGATCGGGTTGGGTTGGGTTCTGATGGAATGGTTAGTTACGACGTCCACGGAGGCCAGTCCAAAGTTTACCTGGCTCCCCGTCATCGTCCAGACAGCCGCGGTCGCCGGTCTGGTCCGGTCTGGCATGGCGCGGCCCGGTCTGCGCTGAGCTGCCCGTTTTCGCCTCTGCGTCTGTCACTGTCTGCAAGGTTTTTGACTCTTTCGCCTTCGGTTCGTTTCTTGCTTCCCTATTCTGGGCTGCAGCGGCAGCTGCTGCTGCTGCCGGGCTACGGTAGCTAGTCCCCGTCTCCCCACCCCATGCCTTCTATCGATCGATGTAGACTGACTGCCTGCCTGCCCGCCTGCTTGCCTGCAGACTGCCTGGCCTACCAATTGATGATGCTGATGGCGAGATTGAAGTGATATTTTGCCTGCCCTGCGCTCGCATCTCTCCCCTGCACTAGTTTGCAAGCGAGAGCGAGCTTCGGGACGGAGAGAAAGGAGCGAGCGAGCGAGCGAGCAAAGAAGGGAGGGAGGGCTAGTGGCAGGCTCTGGACTGAGTTGTAGAGTTGCGCGCGAGCTGTAGAGCTGTGCCGTGATCAAGCGCGCAGTCTTTTCGCTGTCTCACGTCATTCATGGTGCGGTATTTATTTAGTCAACTGCACTCTCCCCCACTGTTTCCTCTCGTGCTCATTCTCCCGGGTCTACTCGCTCTTCCCTTCTCGTTTGCTCGCGTCTCCCGCTGCCGCTCCCTTATTAGCCTCCGAGAGCCGGAGCTCACATTTCAAGCTGCAAGGCAAGAGAGACCGAACCCCGAGCGCTGACATACAGACGGAGCGCGAGCCTGCAAGCAAACACTGTCACGAACGCTCTCGGATTCATGCGGTAGTTCCTCGACTACACGCGTGCCCATACTGTCGACTCCTCTCTGGAAGGATGTCAGCCAATCACGGACGAAGTGGCGGGACCTTCAGCTGCTCGAAACAAATGTTCGGCTTTCTAGATGAATTTCACTCGATCAATCCTGACCTGAGCAGCCGCGCTCCAGCTTGAGAGAATAGGCAGAAAGCATTGACAGATAGCAAGGCCGCCTCTGTGGAGGCCTCTCGAAGCGTTCGCATGGTATATCCGTCGAGGCAGTAGTGCGCAGCCTCCGGAATTTGACGAGGACAGTCGCGACTGGGCGCGGCATTCCGTCTCATGGTGTGCAGGTGGAGGCCCTTTGAGACCGAGAGCGAGACGACGAGAGCCATCGATTTCCAACCAGCGCTGTGCCACTTGCGCCTTAGAGCTAAGTCCTGACGGGTGGGCAACAATGCTCTGCTCTTGCCCGCGGCGTGTACATCCCTCGGGGCCTTCGATTCGTGAAGTAGTCGAGAGCGGGTGGTCAGGCTGACGGCGTCCGTCGTCTGGGGGAGGAGAAAGCTCCAGCGAAGGAGCTCGTCGGGAGGGGTAGAAACTGAGAGAGGCAGAGCGGAAGATTTGCGCAGCTTGGCCAATTTGGGAGGCGCGGAGAGATGAGCGCGGAGGCGGCTATGGAGGACGCCCACGCCGCGCAGGGGAGCGGGGGCGACCCGCAGCCTTCGCACTCGGAGGACGAGGGGAGCGTCCCGTCGCAGATGGGGAGCGGGCGGCGAGACGCCAGAGTGGTGTGCGAGACATTCACGGGCAGAGATTTCCGAAGCGGGACGGCGTCCGATTCCAGGCGCGTGGCATCTTCGGCCAACACGACGTCGTCCGATGCGCACAAAGGCTCGAAGCACTTCAAGCGCCGAGGTGTCGCGTACTCGCATTCGCGCAATCCTCTACTGGCCTGCTTCATCGGGGAATCCGTGCTGTCGTCGCGAGCCATCCGCCTGAACCCGAATTGCGACACGGCCAGTTCGCAGAGAGCCTTCTTCTCGTTAATTCCCGTAGATAGCAGCAAGGTGAACGAGAGGACGGGCGAGCCGTCGTCGCCCCAGCTCTCGTGCATAGGACAGGTGAAATGTAGGCAGGCCAAGGCTCCCCGAGGGCTCGGGGCTGGGTCTGTGGTCGAGGACCTGGCGCAGCTGGATCTCACGGCGGAGCGGAAGGAATCAGCTGCTGCCCCAGGGGGCGGGAGGTTCGGGAATCGAAGATCGTTAGAGAGAGTCAGGTCCTTCGACCTGCCCGCCGCCGCCGCCGTGGACGACATCCCTCCGCTGGATCTCAATGAAGGAACGGAAAATCCTCGTCTGATGCGCTCCACGAAGCGGCCGGGAAGTTTGGAGGTTTCGAAGAAGGCGATGGAGGTCGAGAAGCAGCAGCACCATCAGCATCAGCAGCAGCAGGGAGGGAGTCCTCCGAGCCCGACTGTGTCGAAACACTCGATTCAGCATTTCAATCACCTTCTGAAACAGCTCCTGGGAGCGTCGATGATGAGGACCGGGTTCATTTGCGGGTGGAACTCGCGGGATTCCACTCGGGGTGACGACGACGATGCCTGCGAGCCCGACGACGAGGAGGAGGCGACGGCGGATCACTACGAGATCGATCTGAGTCGATTCGCGTCGTGCGACATGCAAGCCAAAACCCCGTCCTTCCGCGACACCAGGTACTATCAGACGACGATGGGCAAGAAGCTGGCGGACATTCGCGTCCACGCCCACCAGCAGCCCGCCTCCCAAGTCGCAGCTCCAGCCGCATCCGACGACTCGGCCGACGAGCGTCCGGATGACGAAAACACGTCGTCATCGTCGGTGAATTTCTCCAGGGCCAATCATCACCCCACTATCGTGATCAAGTGCTCGGTCGAGCGACGAAAGCCCTCCTCCGAGCCGACCCTCTGGAAGCGACGGTGCATGGACAGGCCTCTGAGTTTGGAAGTCAAGAGATAGTTTCGGTAGTTTTTTCATATATGTGGATATTCTTGCGCAGCAAATGAGCACTTTGTATATCGATAGATAGATTAGAGACAGCCCGAGTTATGGTTTGGTATTATTAGTACTGATGTCGATCGACAGGAAAAAGACGAGGCTACACTTTGCTCTGAGAACCTCCGGCTGGTGGTGTAGTTATGGCATGGTGGTGGTGTTGGTGGTGTCGTCTCGGACTCGGGAAGCTCCATCCGTTTGTTGCTCCGTGACAGCGGACGACGAGAGAGAAGGGAGGGCACTTACTCACGTATAGGTGCGTGCATTCGCACAGGACCAGGTAGAAACACGATCGATCCCCTTGTGAAGGTTTTGGGGAAACTGTACTCATCGTACTCGTTCACGAGTGGCAAGGTCGGCAGCAAGTAGACTAGAGCCCGACCTTCCTTGAAGCAGATCAAAAAGTGGAACTCGAATGAACCACGGGACATAGATTCCTCGCCATGTATCATAATCCTCCAATTAAGCATGACAGTGAACGGCAACTCTCTGGTTGCACTTCCACATCATATTGGCCTCTGTAATTTCGATCGTGAAAAATTCACCTCTCCTCTCTTCTTGATCGCAATGCCCGCATTAAGCAATCTTCCCCGCGCTTGGCATTCTTGGGTTTCTTTCCCATCCGGTGCCGAATGATATTGGTATCTTATGTCGATCCTGAAAACTTCACCTTTTATCTTCTTTATTGCAATGCCCGCATTACACTCTCCCCCGTGCTTGTGTTCTTGATTTTCCTTCCCATCCAATGCCGAATGACGAAATGTATCTCCAGCCTCGAGAAATCTCTCGATGAAATTCCGATTGTCCGATTAAAGGTGCAGATCTTGGCTCTCTGTATATATGCCATCTGCTCAAATCGACCTCCGACGCTCGCCCGCGGTAGACGTTCGAGGAGACAGCTCTCCGCGCGCCTGGGCCTCGAACGTTGGCTGGCGCGGCTGATCGGTTTTTGAATGTAGGGAGCGTTCGGGCTCATTCGAGAGATACCGGTTAGCCTCGTGGGTATGGTCGGATCAGTAACCGAGGCCTTATGCTCAGCCAGTTTCATAAGAGGGTGGAGCTTGCCATTGGATAAGAACGTAGGACCTATCTTAACGACGCCCGCTTCAGATAGTGGTCGCTCACCGAAGTTCTTCTAGCGTCCGCGGTCGCAGCCTAAGCGCAGGCCCAAGGCCGAGGGAAGTGCCGGGCACGGCTGGCTCGGAAATACTACCATCTCGGTCCGAAGAGGTCGTCGCGCCGGAACAGCCTGCTTAGAGCTCTAACGCGCAGCCCCTTCGGATTATCGCTAAGTCGGAGATTATGGCGAAGGTTTTATGGGGGAGGGAGGGAGGTACAGTCGCAGGCTCTGCTCCGACGGGACGAGGTCGGAGATGTGGAAACAATGGGAATCTCTGGGAGCGATCCGGACGGCAATCGCAGTGGCTGGCCAATTCGGAGACGAGCGTGTCTGTACGATGCGGTCCGGCTCTCTTCTGCTCGAAAAGCTTCTGACTCGTGGCCATGCAACGAGCAGAGAGAGCAGAGCAGAGCAGCGAGCGCTCGCGCAACGAGCGAAGCAGTAAGCAGCGCGGTACAACCACGGACCTCGGATGATCGTCGTCGTTAAGGTGAGTTTCGTTTTATGGGCGGGCGTCGAATCAATCAGTGGAAACGTGGTGCTGTTCGATGTATCTTTGAGCATGAGCTGAAGTCACTCGAGCACGGGGCCGCGAGCAATCATTCCAGATGCAAACGGACCTTTCTCTCGCAGAGCAGGGCGTTGTCCAGAACGCTCCACGTAAAGGAGAAGATTTTATCGCTCTCGAGCCAGATTTTACGCTGGGGGATCCGCTCGCTGCTGCCTCCTGCTGCAGCTGCAGCTGCTGCTGCTGCGACGGCCTGGAATAATCCGTCTAGCACGCCCGCTCACTGGATCGGGTCCTTGTCGGGCCAAAGGCGAGAAATTGTAGCTGTTAAAAGCGAGCGAGCCAGCAGGAGAGCCGGCCGGCCAGCCCGCCCGCCAGCAGCAGAGGAGCTTTTGCTCTCCCCTCGCTGCGCGGGGCAGTATGATTGAGCTTTTGGAGGATCTACTGCGACTGCATTGCATTACTTGTGCTGCCGCTCGCCACCACATCCACCTCCGGCTACAGCTTGCAGAGTGGCTTCTTGTTGAGCGCCCGGCTTTATGGAATTCTTGTCCTCATGTCCTTCGGCTGCCTCTCGCCCTCCCTCCCTCCCTCCTTCCCTCGATGGGCACCGAGTGGCCCGGCTCCATGGTCGTAGGGAGGGGCATAGCTCCTCGTCCTCGTCCTCGTCCTCCCTCCCCTCCCCTCCCTTTCTCCCCTTCCTATACTCCGTTCCGTTGGTCCTTCACTTCTGATGGCCACAGCAGAGGCAGCAGCAGAGGCATCACCTCAGCATCAGCATCATCAGCGCTCGTGCCAGACTGCTCTTCGGCTTCAGCTCTCGCCTGCTCTGCGCATACAACTCATCGACGCCTTTTCGGCCACCTCGTCATCGAAAGGCGAAAATGAGCAGAAACTGGTCAACTACTTGTCTAGGATTCAATCAATGTCTCGACGTCCTCCCTTCCTCTTCCTCTCCATCCCTTTGGCTTCTCTTGCCATCGGTTCTGTCTAATGGCAGGCGGGATGATACGGCCTGAGCCACCAATTAGCACGGCACGATTGCATCATGAGCAGGGACTTTCTTGGAGCTAATCATGTATTACGAATTTTAATGTTTTCGCTGTTGGGTACCCACTGCTGCTGCTACAAGTCCTCGAGGGATCCTGTATAAGAGTTGCGTTCGATGACTTTGCCTTGCTTGGAGTCATTCGCGATTCATTGGAGTCAGTGGACCCATCCATCTATCTCTCCATCCATCCATCCATTCATGATCACACACGACTCGAGGACTCGTTGGCACATCTTCTCACAACTTTCCCCTTTAAATGCGTCGAGGTGGTATCGAGGCAGAGGCATGGGAAACCCAATCCCCGCAAAATAGATGGGACTCGCCGAGCAGCTGACATGCTATAGGGCCCGAGTACATTTCGGGCCTCTCGAGAATTATTTAGTCGACCATTATTTTGCCAGCCTCGGTCATAAGGATCGACAGGTGGAGAAACGCAGAGTCCGTCGCGGACGACTTTCCTGTTCCCAATCACCCAACGGTGCTGCTCCACGTGATGCATGTCCATTCGAGTTCCGGCCATTGATCGGCAGCCATTTCTCCCCTAGCCAGCCATCCAGCCATCCAGCCAGATAACCAGCTCCTCCTCGCCCGCGCGCATCATTTCTCTACGAGATTCCAGCCAGAATAGGAGGGGAATCATGACCGCCCTCCTCTTTTCTCACCTCCCTCCCCTTCCACAAACGAGCTTTCTTTTTTCCATCATGATAAGACCAGCTTTTTCCGTAATCATGCGGATTTGAAAAGGTTTCGTGTTGAACCGAGCTCGAGAGATTCAGGTGCTTCTCGCAGCACCATATCTCATTGATTCCCCATGCTCTCCGATTAGCATACCGGTAACCTTGTCATGGGACCAATAAATGGGATCGTCCAAGCGAGCTCTTTCCGCTCTTACTCCCGCTAGCGACGGATAATATGGCGAGCTGATGATCATGAACACGAGAGGGAGGGAGAGGTGAAGTATCTGGCCCCCTTCTTCTCCTTCTGCTTCTTCTTCCTCTTGCTCATCCTCGTCTTGTGAGTTGTGCTCGCGGCAGAGGGCGAGCGTCATGATAAGTTGAGCAAGAGCGACAATCATTTCTCGAGCAGTCAGAATTTAATATTTACCGAAAGGCGAAAATCACTCATTACCTAGCGCCCTCACATTTCCCCCTTTCTCTGATTCTGTTTCAATTCCGTCAGATAGATGGACACTGTTAGCGGAAAAGGCTCTCCGCCTCAAAAACGGGAGGAGATGACCTTCGATAATGGAGTAGATTTCAGCGATTTTAAAACAGCCTCCATCCCACCAACTCCGGCGATCGAAGGCCCTTCAGCTCACAGGATTAAAACATGTGTGAAATCGGGGCCACGCCATGGACGGACGGACACGGACAGAGAAAGAGAGCACTGTCATGGGGGCTCTAATCCGGAGGATGGACCGAATTTTGGAAGGGAGGCAGATCGCGATCATCATGAAAAAGTTCAGCACCTGGAGGTCTCGTCTCGGTGGTCTACAAGATACGCAGGGGGCAGCTCCACGTGGGGCCCCCTCGCCAAGAGAGAGAGGGAGAGGGAGAGAGAGTGGAGAGAGCGAGCGAGCGAGGGAATGTTTCGATCGACAAAGGCGTGATTTGCAAACGGTATCTGATGAGTAGCGGCGCATCTTCAGGTGGGCTTCGGTCACGCAACATGATCCGATTCCTTGAGCTTGTCTCGTGCTCGTAGTGAGAAAGTTGAAGGTGAAGCGGGACAAATAACGTGCAGGACCCACGACACTTACGACTCTCTTCGCGAATGCTGGCGACTTCCACTTGTCCGGATAAGATCATGGATCCCCATGTCTTCCATTTCTTTGTTCGTAAACGGTTCGATTGCATGTCCAACGAGTCTCTCGTTTGGATACTTTTGATGCTACGAGACATATCTCCCATCTTGATGCCAATGGGGCCTGGACCCGATCCACCGTTCGATAACATTTTTGTTCGGCTCGATGGGGTTCCCATCCAATTATCCATATCCCTTAATTCTTGCAGCCCGAGGTTCAGATTCGAAGCAGTATCCAATAGGGTACCAACATTCCATGCGGAGGGCTTCGTGTTGCATACCGAATATTTGATGCTCGTGCGTCAGATTTTGGTGTTATGCTCGTCCTGGGCTAGGTTTAGGAATCTCCATGAGCTCGCTAGGGCACTTTGGAACAATGGATCACATGAGCGAGCCATTCTTTCTCACACGCATTCCCTTGTCTAGTGATATAGCTTGCCATTTGCTTTTAAGGTCTTGTCATATAGTTGTGTAATTTCATGCATACTATATTTATCAATATTGAAACATCACAACGTAATCCAGCCAGGTGAAAATACAAAGCAAATATTTTAATTTTGGAGTAAGTTATAGTCAGAAATAAATTCTAACCTCAAAAACTTGAAGTAATAACTACATTGTTTGTTACATAACTGTAAGATCACCTAAAATTGCCAAAAGTCAAAATTTCATCACTGAACATACATTCAATTATGCATTTTAAAAAGTGAATGTATATTGATTCAATATATTTCAAAAAAATTGCTTAATTCATGTATTTTAAAAACGTAAAAAATATTTAATTTTAGCTTCATGAATGTTAAAATCCTAGAATTAGCATGATTAAGATATTTGTATAATATAATAATAAAGATAATTTGAATCAAAAATAAATTTCAAAAATAAATCAATTTAGTTATTTCATATTTCTTGTCATAATATATTGAAAATGATCTTCAGTATTTTAATGATCTTTTTACACAAACACAACCAATGAACTAATGAATGAACATGCTCGCAATACTTTTTGTTTAGATAAGTATACAT